AAGGTTATAAAAAATTTTGTTCGGGATAAATAAAGTTTGGGAAAGAAAATTTCAGAACATTGAATAAGTGATTAGAACTCTTGGAGTTAACGAACATTAGATGTTTATTTAATGAAGCAACTGTAAACAGGTTTTTCATTGAGATCATGAAGCGATTGATGTTCGACCACCACTGAAAACCTGGAAGCACTGGACAGGCGTTTTGTTCTATTGTGGGACTTCTCAGCAATGTGTTATCCACGATTCCGCTCACGGGATTCGAATTCAGAGATATTAACACCGTTGAATACCAGCTCAGTGGTCTAGTTGTTAAGCACTTGCGCACGAGACTGGTATGTCCTGGGTTAGAATCTCGCAAGGCGGCCTCGTGGATGCGCACAGCTGAAGGCTTCCATATTGGGACGAAACGATCGTCTAGTGCTTTCAGGTTTTCAATAGTGGTCTAACATCAATCGGTTTATGATCTCAATCGAAAACTTAATATTCTGTACAACCCCATACTGATGAAAAAACAGATTAATGGTAGTAAAGATATGAATTGGAATCAGTAAGTTATGAATTAAAGAAAAATGACAATGATGTAATTAAACTTCAGAGAAAGAGGATTCACATTATTATGTACCAATCTTCCTTCCGCAAGAAATTTCTCAAAATACATCTTCTTGTACAGTCATTCAAATCACTGCATCACCTGGTATTAATTTTTTGTTGTTTCTTTTCCATACCAACTTTAAGATATATTGTTGATGAAATTAATAATGGACATAAAAGATAGTATCATTAGCGTAATATATATATACATCAAGGCAACATAAATTATATAAATATCCCATGAGAAATCATATAAAAATTGAGAAAACAAATGTATTATGCAATAAATCTAAATTATTGTTCAATATTCATTTATTTTAAACAATATTCATTTTCTTTTTTTTTACATCATTTGCATTCAATCAAAAATTAAATAAAATTTAATGATTGATGAATGAAGTCCCTTTTTCTCTTTGTTTATTTTATGTATCTATTTCATCAATGATGAACTTGATTTTCTTCTATAAAAAAGACAATTTTATTATTTTTGTTATGTAATTAAATTAAAATTCACTTAGATATTATTACTTATTATGAAATAATGTAAACATCATTTAAAATTACAGTAACCGTTGATTATTCTATTATTTGAAGGATTACAATCAAGTTTATGAAATCTACAGTAACATTTTCCATAATAGTACATCCACTTTTATTAATAACCATTGATCAAGTTAATTTCATAATCGTTTTAATCCATCATTGCTTGCAAATAGCTTGTAGATTAAGGTAATATCGAGGCATACGCACAGTATGCACATATGCCAATAACAGACTGATCAATTGCAGTCTTAAATTTCAATTGGAAGATACAAGCCAAATAATACCAAGTGAACTCATACATGGTTATTCGATAATTTTGTTGGTTGATTATATTTTCCTTGAAAAAGCTTGAAGCAGATTGCCAAGCGAAACGTTGGACTTACTTCAAATTCTTTCGCTGAGATGTTACAAATACTTTATTCCACTTTAGTGACTCACATTAACTTGGCGCACAAATATTGTGAAACTATTCGTTCAAATTTAGACGAAAGTTCTTATTCATGGTAAATATAGTTAGAAGAATATTAAAAGCTACGTAGAATGATATAATCTGTAGAAAACTAATTGTTTATATTGATGTTTTTCAAAATCAATAATAGTTTTAAACAGTTTTTATCTCATTATATGCAAAAATTATATTTGAAATAATTTCAGTGATTAAAATTTAAATAATTCCAAGGTTTCGTCCAGTTAACTTGTCTGGACTTCTTCAAGGTAATGATTGAAAACAAAGTTATTATCTCACTTTTTCTTGATTTATTCTTAGGTAGTCTTTTGTATGCAATATGAAAATAGGTAGAAAGGTACTCCATTAAAAATTCATTATTTCTAAAGTATATGTAATATTATTGTTATCCTCTAATAGAAATACGTCCTAGTTTAATTTTCATCTTTTACTTTTTCATACTCATAATGATAGTCAATTGTAAACAGTTTCGAAAAAAGCTACATATTATTTTTTCGTAGAATAATAACAACTTTCTCTAAGAAGATATTCGTAGTCCTTGTGTTTCATCAGTACAACTTTTTATCTGTATTTAGGAAACATTATCGTCCTGTCACCTTTTATGCACTATTATTGTATATTTGCAGACAAAGGAAATGGCTTTTTATTTCATCTTATGATAAAGAAAAGATGATCTATAATAAGTTTCATCTAATTTATTATTCGATTTTCAAAATAATATCGACTTTAATAAACCTCAGAATGTATTCTCTATAGGTTCCTTCATTTAATCTAATTTATGCTAAATAATTGCAAAACAACGTTTATGCTGCATTTGTTCGTATTATTAATACTATTAGTCTGATGTCTATTTACCGATGAAAACTAGAATATATATAAAATGTTATTCATATATATATATATATATATATATATTGTCCTCACTTTGAGACATGAACTTACTAGGTTGTATGTAAAATCATGAATAAACACTGTTAGGAAGTCCCAAATAGAGATAAAATTATTCGGACCTTCGATTTTTCTCCCAATCTATATTAATCCCCAATAATAAATCTCATAATTACAGAATAATTGAAAATTATATAATGATAATTTATTACTTGATAATATTCCTACCAAATAAAAACACTAAAATTTTCAAAATTCTGTTAGAGAGACAGTAAGAAGTTTACGTTACCAAATCCATTTTTTTGTGTGGTTTTTTGAAAAAAAACTACTTTCAAGTATACACTTTCCCCTAACTTATCTTTCATTTATTTCTCTCACTAAATGTGATTTAATCTGTTTTCTATGATTATTTGTTGCTCATTTATTTTTTAAAATATAAATAATAAGTAAGAAATTGGGTACATAAATGATTGTAAATAATCTTTCTAATTTTGAAGTTGTTTTATTTTTTTACTTTTTAGTAAACAAATCAGAAATTCTTTTCTTTTTCTCTCTTTTCTTTGTGAAATTATTATTTAGATATTATATTTCTATTATTGTATTCATTTGAATATATTGACAAATCTACCCTATAAGTTATTTATATGTTTACAAACTTGATTATCTTATCTGACCCATCTATTCATTGATCAATTGTCTTTGAAAAAAAGAAAAAAAGAATGAAATTAAATAAACAATTTATCGACAACTGATTGATGATTTATGTGCCGTGTTATTATCGTTATTATTGTTATTATTCGGCTAAGATCTACGCCCCCCCTCTTTTTTTCAAAGAAAAGAGGAGGATTATAAATATCCAAAGTAAAACATTGGTCAGTAATTATAAGTGTCTCCATCTAATGAATTTGTCTAATAATATTAAAAATATATATATTATGTATTTTTATATTTGTATCGTCCATTTTAATCCAAAAAAAACAATAGAAACTCAATCCAAACCTATGAACAATGTGGTAAACAAAATCTTAGTGAAAAAAAAATAAAACATTATTAATCAAGTTGATTTATGCATACCTTATGTGGTTTGATCGCTTTGTTTTGATTAGGCTTTTCGTGTTATATGAAAAACAGATAGGAAATATATATAATTTAAACGGGCGTATTAGTCGACGGAATTTGTTCCAATTATCATGATTTATACAGTCGAATCATGATAAAATTTGGAGACAAATTCAATATATTACTTAAATCCTTTAAATATATTGTTCATGAAGTTTGTATGACAGTTCATCAAATATAACAATTAGATATATACTCTGTTTTGAGTAGTAGTAATACAATATGGCATGTTAGATTGATTTATTAATTAAGGCGAAATAAATTGTTTACGTTGAAACTTTTCGAGAATTATGACTATTGCAAACTTGTATATGTATTTTAAATAATTTTGTTTGGACCATTGAACGAAACGAATTTCAGTATTTAAAATATATTTATAAATCACAAGTATCATACTCATTTAGAAAATGTTGAGTACTACACATAGTTTCTGGTCATGTTTATTTATGAATCACAATTTCATTGATTCGCCTGACTGATTGATTGATTCATACTGCAAAATGTTCAACCTAAGGAATGTTCTTGAGGTAGCTAAAAAAATCATTCTAAGCAAATATGAATCCTAAGTAAATTATTAAAATCTTTCAGATGTAGTAAATGGTATTATTTCAGTGTCATTTAACTTATTAAATGTTAATCTTTAATGATCGTAATCTATCTATATAAATTTAGATAAATAACATTTAACTTATTACACAACACTCTTAATTGTTCTAATTTATACAATCTATGAAGTTAGACTTCTGTCTTGATATCAATTACTTTTTATCTATTTTCATCTAAACAATGGAAAATAAAGTTTAACACTCTTTCTTAGTTAGCAGTCTAAACTATTCTCCATTTGATAACAAAAACTTCTAATCAAGAAGAAACAGCACCTGTTAGAGAATCAAATTCTTAGTGATCCTTTGGCTGTTAGTATTCCGCATTCAATTAACATTTCTGTGAACTTGACATAAATGTAAAACACGGAACCGTAACGAAATGTATAGTAAAGGAGAAACTTTTATGAGGATAAGTGCTTGTTTTGTTACTGTCATTAGGTTAATGAAAAATAAAATTTATAAATTTTCTTATTTAAGTGAAATGAAAATACGGAACCAGATATTTGAGTAAGTAAGTAAGTAAGATATTTGAGTGCTTGGAGGTATCAGCTGTTAGGCATCTCCTAGCTAAAGAGCAACAATTTTTTATGAATTCTAGTCTATAAAAATGTACTGAACTATTTCAGTTCATGGTAGCTGATTAGAGAACTAGCATTTTTGTTGACAATTTTGACTTCATAGATTTAAATGTTCATTTGCTAGCTAGGTTCCTAGTTTTATAACTATATGACTACAGATGACTTGTTGATAACGTGAATAAATTCCTTTATTTCTTTTTTTTCAAAAAGTTACAATATCATCTCCAACCTTGATTACTATTGGATCTGCATTTAATCTCACCTGTTCGGTGTACGTTACGAAAGATAAATCAGTCAATATAGCAATAGACTGGTTCCGACCAACTTATTTAATTGAAACATCTTCAAGTCGACCTACGATATTGATTAATCCACAAGTACTAAACAACATTTTATCTATGCAATCAGATTTAAACTCACACAATTCAAAGTACAGTAATATCAGTAATATAGTTGGTGAACTTGCTTATTCATTTCAACAAATCACCAGCAGATCATCAGTCGGGATAACTATTTATAAACAAGTTACCGGTGAATTAAATTATAACTATCGTAGTGAAGTGCTTCTTACTGTACAGTCAGCCAGAGAAAATGATGGTGGTATTTATGAATGTAGAGTGTATGAAGCAGCAAATTATGGACAAGAAAAAATCATAGACAGAGCATTTTTAGATATTATAAGTAAGTCAATTGTTTATATATTATTTAACCCTATTTAGGCTGCTTTCGTTAGTTATATAACCACACATATCTAAGTTGTAACTTTTTAAAATCATGTCCCAAGCGATATTTTTTCACATGAAGTATGAACATGAAAGATATCTTCAACTGAGGAAGTTCGGTCGGCTAACTTAACGACAATATTATTATTTACCTACTTACAACATATATTCTCTCCCTATATATAATCATGTTACATCTCTCATTAGCTAATACGTAATTTTTATGCTTTATCTGTGTAATTAAACTACATGTGTTGTACAGTGAACATTTTAAAACGTTTTAAACTATTGCTTAACATTCATTTCTCTTTTCAAAATAAAATATATCAACCTTACTTTCTCCACTAATGTAATTAACTTTGTTCAAAACATTGTGCTTATTTATTCGGTGACAAAAGGAATAATTACATCTCAAAACTAATTACCAAAGACAACATTAGCTTTTGTTGATGTTAATCTCTTTGATAAAACATGCATATTGGCTAATTTAATCCTCTGAGAATCATGACGCAATACACAAATAAATGCACCACTTAGTTTAACTTGGTTGTTAAAAAAACAATATTAAAACGTATAAAATCACTAGGGAAAACAATAGTAAAGGTAAATGTAGAGAGATGAATCCAGACATTGTTGTCTTTCTTTGGCACTGTAAAAAGTGAAAACCATCAAACCCTCTTATTATATAACACTACACTAATTAGACGATAAAAGTAATCATCACCTACAAACTCCACTTAGTCCTTACGCCTAATATAACGACATTTATTACAAATTCGACGAAAGATGTCACAGAACAGAAAAGTTCCACATTTCCATGTCTTTTTCAAAGAAAAAAGACTAAATGCAAACAAAAAATAATTATATCGCATCCTTGAAATACTTATATCATTATGATACATTCGTTTAAATTTTTATACCTAAATAAAAAGTAATTTTAATTTCTTTGAAGAACTACATAGTCTAATTAAAATAATCCAGTGTCATTGAATAAGAAAAAGAGAATTCAGCGAAGAAAATTTTCTTTTCGACGAAATCATTTACTTAAGCTGTACATTCCTATGTATAGTTATATATGGTCTTTGTATTCATCACACCAACATCTTCATTACAACAGATTTTTATGATTAAAATGATGTAACTAGATAGTGCTTTGTTTATAATTTAGACAGGTTTATATACATTCCAAAAATTATGAAATATTATCAATAACTGAATTAGTACTTTAGAAATTACTATATCTCTTTTCAGGTTTTTTATTTTACCGTGTTAACTGAGTAAAATATCTCAGTATTTTTTACAACATCGTTATAATTCTTAATATGGTAGCTCCAAACACACTTGTTAGTGAAAACTATCCTCGAACCTATTTAGTTTACTCACTACTTGAATTAGAGTAAAAGTCTACACTTAATGAGTTTAAAAATAATGACAGTTTACAATCATTATTCTTTAGTGATTACACGACCACTAGTTAATTAAGTAGCTTTGGATTTGCCAGCAAAAGCCTTGATAAGAATCCGAGACCAATATTCTCAACTAAGTGAGCATGATAAAAGTTATCTACCGATGACAACATTATTTTTAAGCAGTATCAAGGTTTCATCAACGTTGGTAATGTCAACCACCAGAATGAAACTTATTAAATAATTTAGTGGGTAAAATAAAAATTAGTTACAGTGGATAGCACGTTAAGCGCTTGATGGTCACCTCTGACAAGTTTTAAACAACAAAAAAATAATTTTTCAGTGCTCCTTGTTATATACTGGCTTTTTTTACTTACATCAATGATTGGCATTAGTACTTCTCAAATAAATAAAATTTTGCGAAATCTCAATTCATATAATTTTTCAAAGATTTTCACAGTAGTAAACTTAATAATGAATATTATTCGCACTAAATAAAATACACTGCTGAGGAGTCCCACAATAGGACGAAGCGGCCGTCCAGTGCTTCCAGGTTTTCCATGGTGGTATAGCTGCAATTGAATCATGGTTTCAACTTGTGAAATTTCTAAAAATCTCCACAAAACCCATTCTGATAAAAATACCTTTTGATGAATCCACTACATTGTATTTTGGAAAGGTTAATAATGATGATGAAGAAATATAAAGAAAGATAATGTAATAATTATTATTAATAATGGCTGAATTCATGAGTCAGCTAAAGCTAGACCACCATGGAAAACCTGGAAGCACTAGATGGGCGTTTCGTCCTAGTATGGGGCTCATCAGTAGTGCGCCTCCATGATCCTGCCCGCAGAGTTCGAACCCAGGGCATCAGGTCTCGCGCGTGAATGCTTAACCTCTAGACAACTGAGTCGTCATCCAACGGTATTGATGCGCATTGCTGAGAAGTCCCGTACTAGAACAAAACGGCCGTCTAGCGCTTCCAGGTTTTCCATGGTGGTCTAGCTTTAACCTACTCATGAATTCAACTATTAAATTACTATAATCTCCACAAAGTTCACTTTTATCTACATTACTTCGTTATTCATAATTGTAGTCAAAAATGTAAGTTAATAACACATATTAGACCGTAAAGTTTCTAAATTTCAAACATGGAAACGATTACGTCAGCTGCTCATTCTCTGTTGTTTATTAAATATTCACTCCCAACCGCTTATTAAAGAGATTTATTTAATAACTATCTAATAATAATGTATAATCATTTTGAAAAATGTCAAATTATATAAATGTTCATGTCTAGTACATGTGGATTTACATCATGTTTCATAGCAGTCGTAACATGGTAAAGTGAAAAAAATTATGCTGAAAATAATTGACTAGTTCTTACTAGTTGTTATATAAACTAATACGGTCAAAGTTCATCATTCACTTAAGAGGATAAGTACTTGTCAGAAAGGTTAAAATAGTGCTTTTAATGACATCATAGCTTCGCAAAGTTCTGTGAAAAATGTTAAGGTTCTCTTGTTATTTTAGTTTATCAGGGTTGTGAAATTATTCTTGCTAGTAACTTTCATCAAAAATAAAAGTCAGGAACTCATGCTAACTGATAATTTAGTAAAAAAATTTTATCATCAATTCTGATTTAAATTTCATTCGCCAAGTGGTCTTTAGTCTGAGTAAATTCAAATAATAGCCCACCATGGTTGCTTTTGAGTGGTTAGAAGCAATCTTTTCATCTATATTTTGTGTTAGCTAATACTTATCAACAAAATCATCGGTAAGTTTTAAAAAAACTAACGTTCCTCATGAGATTCATTTTCATGTCACTCATTGTCACAGTCAGAGATATTATGGTTCATTTACTCCAGCAGGAAATTTCTTAATTAAAATTTTGATACTAGCAAAAATTACCATATGTAGTACTTCATGCTTATAAATTTCTGCCAGCCATGTTGCAATCCAAAGAATATAATATTCACTAAATAATATGTTCCAACCATTATTATTACTCGTACAACCAAATCATAAGAGGTAAAGACGATAAAGACATAATTAACTGGGTCCTTGAAGTATACGTAGATAAAATTTGCATGTTAAATAACTTTTCTAACTTTAGGTATACTGAACTATTAATTTTACTCTAGGTAATTATTCTGGTATGCCTAAACGGACTGATAATTTGAGACCTAATTAATTGTCGAACATTTCGAGGAAACATCTTCCATATCATCATTTAATTAAATGAAAAGCCGTTGTTAGTGAACAAGCAAGTAAATAAAAAAGTGTAATTTCAGAACAAGATAAGTAAAATGTTACTAATTACTTCATGTACATTCAACCAACAAACTTGAATGAAATATCTATTCAGTGTTCTTTATCTGTTAACAATTCTTAAATTGATATCCGCAAGTGATTAAGCTAACCTATTCTCAGATCTATCAGAAAGACAAACGCCTACTTATGAGTAATTAGCTCTAAACTTATAACCGAGACACCAAGATCTATGGAGTCTACTACATCAACAATTGAGAAAAAAAACTCGACAAACTTTATAGCTACATTAATTTGGTTACAATATTCTCATCAACTGAATATGAGGATTTTCAAATAGTTCTAGGTTTATATCAATTCTACCGATTATCTTATTCAATGACAAAGATTATTAATTATTAACTACTTGTCATTATTATATGTATATTCAGTGTATTATTTTTTTTCTTTACTTCACATCAGGATTAATTAGGAAAAACAAAACTTGTTAATTAAACTTGTCATTATTAATTTACTAAGAGATCATTGATAATTATGGTTTTTTTTTCAATCTTTTCTTTTATTGATTAACAATTATTCTATCATTTAAAATATACATTCAATGAAATAACATAAATGAATATGTTGTACAATGGTTTATATCGTTGCTAATAATGAATACCTGGATTAGTTTCTTTTTTTTCTTTTAGGTGATTAATTGTTCAACTTTTTGTTATTGTTTGTTTGTTTGTTTGTTTGCTTATTTGTGGATACATTATTCATCATTCTACATACGTAACACTACTATGACTGCTATTAACTTATCAGAGTATCTGATAAATAAATTCAGAAAATATTGAACAGTTATATTGTGTTACACCATTTATATATAAATTTTAATATTGTAAGATAAATTGACTGTATATTAGACTGATGAATAAATGGAAATAATATCTAATAGTTAAATTCATAAGTAGATTAAAGCTAGATAACCATGAAAACCTGTAAGCATTAGACGACCGTCTCGTCTTAATATGGAACTCCTCAGTGGCGCGCATTAACGATCTCGCCGCACGAGATTTGAACGTAAGAATGATAGGTTTCAGGTGCCGTCTCAGCGGTCTAGAGGTTAGGCGTTCGTGCGCTAGACCAATAACTCCTGGGTTCAAATCTTGCTAGGCAGGAGCGTGGATGCGCACTGCTGAGGAAACCCATACTAAGACGAAACGGCCATCTAGTGCTTCCAGGTTTTCCATGGTGATCTAGCTCTAACCTACTCATGAATTCACCTATTAAATTACTAAAATCTCCACAAAATCCCTTTCTGGGAATAATATCATTTATTCTAAGTGCATGTAATACGTTTTTTCATCATCGTCCGTATAATTTATCCTAATATTCAACAGTGACAGATATAAAAATATTACGTAAAGTGTTGTAAAATGATAGCAGTTCGCTGTCCATAAAATTTCCCTGGGTTCTAGAAATTATTATGAAAATAAAAATACTAGTAAATCCTCTGATTGAAATTATAGAACTATAGTACTTAAAAATTAAAACTAAGTGTTGATTTTTCAAATAAAGAAATATCGAAAACTAAGAAGTACAGAAAAGTTGTTAAACATTTTGAATATGTGAACCGCTAGTTGACAGCTCATTAGCCTTAACGTTAGACACTCGTCATAAGATCTTGAGTTCTACCTTTAGTGTGGTTTTAGATGTGTACTACTATAGGCTCCCATATCAGGACGAAACATTCGATTAGAGCTTCTCTGACTTCAACTAAAACGTTGATACGTAAATCTACTAGAAGCATAGTTTAAACTGATATCTAATATTCAATTTCACTGGAAAAAATACATCCCTCTGTATTACAGAGTGATATATTCCATCTGATTTAGTTAGTTAAATACATTTTTATTCGATTTTTTTTATATTTAGTACGCAAAAGATATCCTCATAATTCATTTGAACAAATCGAAGTAAATACAAAACTTAGAAAACTTTTATCAGTATTTTGGAAATTAAATCCTTCTCAGAAAAACTATGATAATTTACACGATCAACATGCACAAAATGATGTGGCATCCAGAGTTCGAGCGAAATATGGAACACAGAATATAAGTCAAGAGAAAGGTAATTTTATTAATTATCTATTGTTATTAGTTTTGGTGCATTACAAATCAGTTGTTCAGTTAACTGATATATTTATTCCTTTTTAATTAAAACATTATTATCATATGGGTTTTGTGGATATTATAGTAATTTCAATGGTTAAGGCCATCAGTCAGTTGAAGCTAGACCACCATGGAAGTCTTGCGGCGGCCTCATCTCATTGTGGGACTCCTCAGCAGTGCGCGCTCACGACCTCGCCCCCTGCGGAATTCGAACCCAGGACCTACAGGTTTCGCGCGCGAGCACTTAACCACTAGACCACTGAGCTGGCCGGTATCCAACGGTGTTAATGTCTAGCTTCAACCAATCCACGAAATTGAGTGACACATCTACCATTGTCTTCAGTGAGTTTCTATCTCACAACAGACCTGGTTGAACTCCACTGGTCACTACTTCTTACTAGAACTCCGAGATATACCTCTTGAAGCCAGTCAATAGTAAGCTCATGTTAGTTAATTTCAGATGAGTTTTGTGAATATTATAGTAATTTCAATGGTTGAGATCTTTTCTGGTTATTCGTCCATTTTTCAATAAATAAACCATATTCACTATTTTGAATAAATATTTTTCATATTAATGACTTTTTTTATATTTTAATATACTTCATCAATCTACCTATTGTTCCACTACCTGTTACCTGAATAATTGTGTTACCTGAAATTTAGTTCCTGTAAACCAGCTATCGGTTTGACCTATTTCAAACTGACTTAGTATATTAAGTTATAACAACCATTTTGAAATAATAAAAAAACAAGTAATTCCAAATAAATATGACCAACTTATAAATCTATCAACAAACATTTAAGCATGAATAAAAAAAGGAATGCAAAAAAGAAGAAAGAAAAAAAAAGAAAATCTTTTTTCTTAAACTCAATTTATCAAATAAAAACAATCAACTTCATTATCAATCAATCTAAATTTTAAAAAAATTTCTTGAATTTTTTATCATTAACGATTTTTACACACAAAAAGAAATTTAACATAAATATGCGAACATCCCTTTTCTTAAAAAAACATTTTAATAAACAAGTAGATCTAAATAAATGATTATTTATTTAGTCATTATTATCTAAACTAAATTATCTAATTGTAATGGGCATTTTTTTTAATAAATAAGAAAAACACAAGATGGTTACTATTTTAAAACCTTTTGTTCTATTCAGTTAACTAAAATACACAATAAATAGGTTTAGTGTATTATTCAAGTAAACTTGAACAACTTTACAATAATGATGTAGATCTTAGAAACTAGACAATGAATAGTAAGAATAATAATATTTATTAGAACATTACAGTTTCAAATTGTTTTATTAATTTATCAGTTATAATTAAACACAATTTTTTTCTCATTCAAAAAATTAAATCAGTTTGTGTCGTTTGCAACAAACTTCCTTGGTTTGTTACTGTGTGTTTTTTTATTTTGGTTTTAGTTTTAAAACATACATACACACACACGCATATGCACAAAAGTAAATAAATAAACAGAAAATCACTTGAATATATATTGAAGTTTAACAACTATTTTAAGATGATAAAATCTTTCCTTTGTGTGTGTGTGGGGGTGAGTTGTAATAGTTTTTTTTTTAAAAATAACCATAAAAATAATCAGAATAATCTAATAAATAAGATTTGGCATATGTTTTCAAAGTGTTTCATTCCGCATGATATTAATTCAATAAGAACAAAAAAAAGCTTGTACGTGGTAATAACAATAGAACCAAATTACATCAAAATAGATATTAATTTTATAAATAAAGTCAATGGGAAAATGAAATTGACTTTTTTTTCTGGTTTTTATTAATCTAAAATAGTCTTTATTAATATATCAAATGAATGCAGCATAAATCCTGTAGTTTGTGTAATATTTTTGATGATGTTATATATCAGAAAGGATTTGGTGGATATTATAGTAATTTAATAGTTGAGATCATGAGTTCATTGAAGCTAGATCACCATGAAAACCTGGAAGCACTGGACAGCTATTTTGTCGTAGTACGGGAATCCTCAGCAGTGCATATTCACGATCCCGTCTCGTGAGTTTCAAACCCAGAACCTATCAGCCTCGCGTGCAAACGCTTAACCTCTGGACCACTGAGCTGAGCCTGTTTTGAGATAGTAACTCACTAAAGACAAAAGTGGATGTGTCGTTCAATTTCGTGGATTAGTTGAAGTTAGACATTAACATCGGCTCATTATCTCGACTATTAAAACTATGTTATATATCTTTGTTAATTTATCACTAGACAAAATTGGACAGATAAATTACTTTTCAATGGTTTACAGTGAAAATGATTGTCCTAATATACAAAATCTTAAAATTATTTCAGTAATCATTAGTTACGCTTTCACTAATTAATAGCTTCAAGATGAACTGACCAAAGTGACGAAAATCAGCGAATCAACTAAATGGTCTGCAACACAGTAATTCGTGGACAGTACTGAAGCTGTAAAAAAGGACGTATGCTCTTTACATTTAACAGCTTAATAACTTCATTTTCACCATAAGATTTCAATATTCTGTTATTTATACGTTATGCATGTTCATGATTGTAGACCATCCAAACTATATTACAATAAACCAGTCAGCTTCAGTTTTTGATGGGCTGTTAACTGATGTCAGTTCATGATAGAAATTATCGTTAAGCAACACTGAAATGTTATTCATTGAAATGTTTAAGTTCCTCACATAAATTAAAGTTTTCTACCTGTAAAAAGTGATTCAATAACTCATGTTTATTTTATATTTTTATTTGATATAGATCATGAACTTAGATCAGTGGATATTATCAATAAATTTTTCTCAAAGAAAATGAAGTAAAATTCAACTTATTAGAAACACAAAATCCTCGTATGAGGGCTCGAACTATTAAAAATTCCAACTCATACTTATGTGTTTCTCAGATATTTTTGTATTTTTCAATCATTTTGCAAATAATTTTCGCGGTAAAATAAAGTGTTTTTAAAAATTAGTTATAACAATTTATAAAACAATGAAGTAAATAAAACAAAACTATCAACAAAAACAAATACAAACATCTCTTTGAAGTTTTTGTCCATTGAATCATGCTTTAAAAAAAACAATTAACATAATAAAACACATAAATAAACAGAACCTCCTAATATATATTTGTATTCTAAATATTATGTACATAACTAAGAGCAAAACTCTAAAAACATAATATATCTTTCATTATATTGTCTAACCAGTTTCGTTTCATGTCTCCGTTATTTATTTGTTTGATTTCAACTTTCTTACATAATCATAAAAAGATAAATATTCAAATCATTATGAATTTCAATCAAAAGAATTATTCAATTATCCACATACAGATTTATTTAAGATATAATTAATGTATAAGAAATTATTTTCTCTACCAGATCACTAATTGAAATATCTTGTCACAAATTTATGCTCTCGTTTGTTTGTTTTTTGTGGCAAAACAATCGAACACATTTTTTGTCTATAAAACATATAAACATTTAAGATTAATGAATGTCTTTTGTATATATAAAGAAGTTTAAAAAAGGGATTATATATTGGCTTTCTTTTTCAGATACATCTGTATATTTATATATATTCATTTAAAGTGGTTTTCATTCATTAATTAGTAATGTTATATTGTTAAACGTTTCTATTCGAAATACCTCATTGTGTTGTTTTGAATTTCTACTGATTGAGTGGAATTTTTTTTCCATCATAAATAAAGCATAATAATTTGTAGGTATCATTACCATGATTTGACTTGATAATTTCAAATGAATAGATAGATTTCAATAAGTAGGAAGAATTAGATTTTCTGAAGTTTCGTGACTTAGTGTAAGCCACTTCTTCAGAGGATATTTGAAATACATATATATTCTTTTGATGCTGTTCAATGTAAATCATATAATCATTATTTAACATGTATGTAAATAAGTAAGCTCTTTTATCTCATTATATAGATATATATATATAAGCTATCATTTTCAACTTGGATTAAAAATACTTATTATGTACCTGTGAATAAACTTACTAAATTCATATTTGACAATGTCAGTACTTGATGTTGTTTCATTTTTGTAATGATATTTATAGATCACAATATTTTATTGTTATCCAACTCATTAAACAACCAACTAATCATATCACCTAAACTGAAGAAGAAGAAAAAAAAGGAAAACACTACAAATGTACTTTTGTTTAATTTACTTGTTGAATTCTCTTTTATTTTTTTCTTATAAATCTCCTTACAAGTATACACACGATTAAAAAAATACGTAATCAGTTGTAATAAGTGAATCTATAAACGGAAATTTTATGGAAGAAATATTTTTTTCATCAAGGTTTCAATGAAAGTAAACTTTAATTACCGAACATTCACAATAAATCGAATTCATGGGTAGATGATCATGTAAAGGAAATATAAATGAAAAAAATTTAAAAATCAATTTTTGAGTAATAAACGATTTCAGGTTGAATTCGTCTGCCTATATAATTAGTTTTCTGAAGTTCAATATAATTACATTTGAAAAATATAAGGTGAAATGACTAAATTAAATCAATCTCTATGTATAACTATTCTATAATAGTGAATAATACGTTTAATTTAAAGGATAACAGTGTCATCTATTTGACAAGTTAAGAAAAAGAACGGAAAATATGTCGTTTATTTCGCTGCTATTTTACATTTAAAAATTCAAAATATTGCCTCATCTTTTTTAAAGAAACACATTTCATATCACACTGTTTTGTTGGACGGTGGACTAAATCTGATACTGATATACTTACTTTCCAGACTCAAGTCTAATCGGCTATTTGACTACGAAAAGGAAAGATGGGTATAGAGCTTTACTTAGTTATCCGAAATCTAATATATGAACAAATTCATTCATAAATATATACGTTCATCTTCCTCACAAAATCAGGACAGATTTTAAGCTAATAGCCTTTATACATTCCCTTAGAAAGTAAAGCCAAGTCCTGATCAATTGTACACACGTGTCAGTATCTATAATCTATCATACAGCCTTGAGTTAATACAACTGATTGACCAAGCTCATTACACTTTACATGCATCATATAATGAACTATATGTTTTTAGAGACAAAATTTACTTTCATATACGAGGAGATAAAAAAAGAGGATGACAACCATAACTAAAAAAATAAAGAACATAATTTATCGAATAAAAATCAAATGAAAAATTTATGATAAACAAATAAATTATTGATAAATAAAAGAGAAATCGAAGTTTATGCGCGCGTATGTGTGAATAAGTAAACTAGTTACTAATATAACATTTTTTTGAAAATTATTTCCTATTTGTTATCTAAACTACGAAGTAAATATTACTCTAAAAAAGACCAATGAAGTGGAATGTAAAAATCAATAAAACAGAACTCATTACAACTTCAAAGATATATTTATATGTAATTACCTTCACATCTACACCGTTCCAAGTTGAAATTGAATGGTTCAATGGTTTGCCCTTCTACATTTGATCGAATATTTTCACAGTATTTGGGCGCCGAGTTGATATGAGACATTAAAAGGAAAGAATGTGTATTCCTCCTCTTTAATGGCTATTTTACTTAAAATTGTAGTACAAAGTAGTAAGAATTTGTTTTATAATTCTATCTGAAATACTTCTTACCGTAAATATCTTTTCCAGTTTGTGAATTGAAACCTTGTCTAATTTTTCATATACAGTATACTAAAATCCCGCCATAAACATACGCTTCAAATGAAATAAATTGCTTTGCTAAGAAAATATCGTCAATAAATATACATCTACATTATAATTCTATTTACATTGTGGTACAGTTTTTAAAATCATCTATAAAAATTCAAAATAAACAGTATTATCTAACAGATGAATGAGAAACAACTTAAGAAATATTCAGAAAAGACAGTTTAGCATTTCGTTAAATTTTTGGTGGTGTGGAGTTGATACTTTGAATAAATTTTGATTGGTGTTAGTTGACTTATGTACATAATGTGTAGAATGCTTGAATGTGGCCATTGTCATACTATTATATAGAATAGATAGAATGTAGCTAGAAGTGAAATCAAGGACGCGTGTTTCGTCCTATATAGATATTGATAACTGCAATTACATCTCATTCCCCCGACATTTTCGACTACTTTATATTATATCTCCATGTCATACTTAAATATGAATAAGACTGTAAGCAACTGAAAAGAATCTATGAAATATACTATTCTCCCTTAATTGTTGTTCTCGTTTTGTTCATATTTGTATAAATTGGACTGGAGAGTAAATGACATAAGTTAGAAAGAAACCTAATAAATATATGCAGTTTACAATGTCGACAGATTGAATGCTTCAACAAAAGATTATAGTCATGTTACTGAGTTGTAAATTTCCTGTTTTCTAAGAAGCACATAATTGATAACCATTTAAAAGCCGCGTAATGAATACCCTAGTGTTACTTCTAATATAACATTTACTATGACAATTATCTTTCAGACAAGTTTGACACTTCCACAATAACACCTTTCTATATTTGTTCTGTTACATCTTAACAACCAGTTTGAGATAATCTCTTCAAAATTCAAGTAAATTCTAAAATCTATATGTAGAATGTTTCCTGTATAGATAACTTTATAATACTCTGTCTTGTTTTTTTGTGTTCAGTTTTATAAGAAAAAATATGAATATTTTGAGATTTGGTAGAATGTTATCTTTATATGCATAGCAACTAAAAAAATGTTCCGAACACTTTTTTCTTACATATATGTAAAAACTATATAATATAAACTAATTCAAAAGTATAATATAACCATTACGAAAAGTCACAACGATTCGTCTAAAATACAATGATTTTTTTTAACTTCAGTTTTTATATACTCTAAACTTATATCCTCATTCTGAGTGGCAAATTTTTATAACTAAAATAATAAAAAACACTTTGATTTTAGCAAGATTAATAAAAGTGAATGCAGACATAATGTAAAGCTAATTAAATTAAATAGTAAAACAAATGAAAATTATATTCCCATGAGGACTTTGTGACAATTATTAGGTTTTATATTGTATATAACCAAATGATTTTAGTTAGACAACTATTGAATACCGGCAAGAAATCACTAATTGAAGTTAAAAATTTGAACAACTAGATGCTAACTCAATGGTATAAAGATTAAGAAGCTGCCCAAATCCCTAATGGTTCTAAATTTGATTTAGAATTAGACACTTTGGAAGAGTTCCACTCCCTGATGAAACAGCTATTCAGTGCTTCTTGGTTTTCACTATTTCTTTAATTAAGGTTAAGTCATAATGTGGACTGTGAAAAGCATGTTTGTTTTTTTAAATTTTACTGAAACAAATTATTGTAATGGAGCTGAAAGAACTACGAGTTTTTTCAATCACAAAATATATTGAACAACTGGGTATGTGGAAATTTATCTCGATTAAATACGTAAAACTATACCATTTAAAAGAGATGCAAGTTAGCCTATATATAATGCTTTTTGGTCGTTAGTGGCATTTTAATCTCATCATTCTGTTACGTTCATAATTTCTAAGAACAATGATTAGGTATCAATACGGTTTATACATGTAGCTAGAACGTATTACTTTGAACGTACATAATATGTTAAAACCTATTAAAAGTGTCAGTTGACCACAAACTAGTATTTCTCGATTGTTTGGTTGAACGTAAACACAATAGTGATAAGTTGAAAATAAATGTACTCAGGAAATCAACACATTTCGACAGATACTTAGATTTGATTCAGCTCATGCACAGTGCACAATAGTCAATGTTGTAAAAAAATTTAATGAACAGAAGTACTAAGCTTGTTACAGATAAGGA